GCGCTAGTCCCTTGGATCCCCAATATATCTGCGAAACATACAAAAATATAAATAAATAAGAGTAATTGTTAACTCATTTTAAAAAAATCGAGTCAAATTCTATAGGCAAACTCAATAATTACTTACAAATAACATCTATAATTACTTGCAAATTTGCCCCGGCTATTTACCGTCCTCACTGACGTAATAATCTATCCTATCTGCTTTAGTTCACCATCCGCACTACGTCGTTTTATTCCTTTATTTAAATATCTTTGTTTGAAGCGCCAATGCAGCTTCGTACGCTTCTTGGACTCTACTTCTCGATCTCCTTTGTCTGATCTCAGTCGAGATTTGGAAATGGTGCTCGCGACCACGGAGATGATACGCGTGAATGGGTTGCAAGCAGAGGTGACTCTGAGTGCTGGCGGTGAGCTGCAGTGGCGTCTTGATGGAAGCGGTGAGCAGAGTCTCGCAATAGAGTCGGATGTTTTGGGCTTCTCATCGGAGGGAAGGGAGATTACATTAAGGGGATATGTAAACGAGCCCAGGAGCGGGGATGGAGAGTTGGGGAAGAGGGTGAGGAAGGACTTCGTTCTGGTGATGCCAACGGAGGTGTTGGCGGAGAGTTGGAGCGATCGGATTAGGGATTTTATCAATTCCCTTGGTAGGTGGGATCGTTATACCTATTTCTGCTTGGTTCTGTTCTGGGTGTGGAAATTTTGAGAGATTTTTTGTGTTTTTGATGTTTTGCCCCCGCAGTTTTATTTGAGATATGAATCAAGATTGGGCTCCTTGGTTTGGCAGTCGTCTAATTTCATCTTGAATTGGTTTCGTTTTTTTTGTTGCTTGATGCTTTTAGATACTACTGGCTTGTACTTTGTAGCAATTCAAATAGTTTTTTTTTTCCTTACATTTTTGTGTTTCGACAGCACAATTAATTGATTTATATGAAAAGAAGATATTTTTTCTCTTTTTGTTGATGCTCCTAAATTCTTAATAACTTCAAATTTTTCCTTGAGCTAAGGCTGGAACTAGAACACCGAACTTGTTTGAATTTAGGTTTAATTTTCTTTCTTTCTGTGTGCTTGTACATGTTTTCTATCTTCTTTGTGCTTTGGCTTAATAGTTTTACTGGCTTCACAGTCTTCTAATTTTGTAGCTGATATGGTTCCCAAAATCAATCTAATATATTTATATGAAGACGATCTTTTGTAAGTTTTTCCTTGAGGTAAGGCTGGAACTCGAATCCTGTACTTGTTTGATTTGAACATCAAATTTTCCCCCTTTCTTCGTGCTTGTTCATAAGCTTTTTCTCTTCTTTGTTCTTTATCTTAATAGTTTTACTGGTTGCACAACCTCTTAAGTTTTTACTTGATACGGTTTGCAAAGCCAATCGGATATATTTATATGAAGACGAAGATCTTGCATCCCTTTTTGTTGATACTCTAAATTCTTAATAGCTTGAAAGTTTTCCTTGAGCTAAGGCTGGACCTAGTTTTCTGAACTTGTTTGAATTCCTTAGTTTTTCTCCATTTCTGTGTGCTGTGCAGAAGCTCTCTCTTTTTGTGCTTTGACTTTGTAGTTTTACTGGTTTCACAATCTTTTAAGTTTGTAAATGATATGATTCACAAGATCTATCTGATCAAGCATGAATGCTCATCATTTTTCTGGATCCAAAAAAATAACCTGATTTTTAGTTTATAAACTTTGAAAATTTAGTTTTAAAATAGTGGGATTGAACAAGACAAATCCAGTGAGATCAAAACCGTGCAATTATTAGGTCCTTTAGGCTTTGAATTGCTCAAATATGCTCTGGCCATAACGAATAAACCAATCCGAAAAGCAATAACTCCACCTCTGTCCTACTCTAATTCGGCTATTCATTCGGTTGGTTGTGACCATCCATAGACTCCTCTTCTTGGGAGGATTTAATATCCTCCCTCAGAATGCGACATACTGCTCCGATTTGTGCACAATTCTTTAAGGGAAGTTTTGAAGTTCAAAACTTCTTATAGTGATTGTGACCTCTAATAATGATAAAATTATGAGTTCAACCACTTGTAGATAATTCGGCACTGTTGCAATATGGGTAAGTTAATTTGGCTTGCTCAAGGGTGGGATCGTCCAACCACTTTTTCATCAACTGAGGGTGTAATATGGTGCATCCATTGTTAATAAGAATGAGTAATATTTTTATATTTTTGAATAATTTAAAATAAGGATTGTATTACCCCCTTCCAATTCTATAAATATATCTTGTTCTTGTTTCTTAACATTTTGAACTGGAATTGCCAAGAAATTGTAGAGAATTATGGAGTTTTAACTACTTCGAGAGCCACCAAATAATCACTCAAATATTCCCAAATTCACTAGATATTCGCCTACCAACATATCTAATGGCAATTGACATCCATAACAACCAATGTCTAGCATATGCCAATTGTCAGCATTCAACATCCGCCTGTGAGGTTATTTGGTCTCCCTTTCTATATGGAGACACTCAAGACGGTGTCTTTTGACTCCTGTTGCAAATTTTGTCATATGAACACTAGACATCACTTTCTATCAACCAGTTGATGCTTGCTAATCAACATCTATTGGCCGACTTCTAACCCTTGATGTCGGTTATCTCCCCTTCATTGGCATGAAATGTTTTTCGAGTAATGTCACTCAGTTTCCTAGTGAAATGTTGTCCATGAGTGCCATATACAAGATGCCATTTGTTGCCTTTCATCAAAATTATTATTTAAAGCCTATCATCATTCATCAATGTCACCACTTCCAATAGCTACCGTAGGATGTAGCATTCAAGTAAGTTTGTACATTGTATTCTCATCTTTCATTGATGGGGAAACCCTTTTAATCTCAAATATGGTTGGTGGATCTATTCACACTAAGCTAGGCCTTCTAGTTTTGCCCTTTTTAGGTTTTTCATATAAAATTTTTTCTATTCTCTAGATCTATGCAACTTTGTCTCTTTATCTCTGTATGTCTGTATTCTTCGTGCAATCAAACATGTAACTCTCAATCTATAGAGAATGTTGAATCTAGAATTATCCGTGAAGTATACCAAACTTTATTGAGTGTATTAAGTGAAAAGTGCACAATGACGAAGAAAAAAAGAAAGAAAAAAGTTAGGGTGAGAATCTTTAATATTTCATTTAAATAGTCTTAAGTGCATAAAATTGTCTAAACTGAGCTCATTCCTTGACCACCTCTATTTATAGATGTGGGTTGAGGCTTGAGCATTATAAAATTAGTTGCACAAATGACTATAAAAAAAAAAGAAAAAAAATACTAGATTCATGTAGCCTAATTTCCCATAATAAAATATAATTATCAGGACGCTTGAATATTCAACTTGAGAAAGTCATTTGCTGAACTAATCTGAAGTTGTTGACCTGTTGTGCATAAATAAATGAATAATAGAATAGCCGATTACTAGTTTTCTGTATGAATGAAGTCGTCCACTTGAATATTGCTATGACCGATTTGATAGATTGTACGTGCTTGCATGGTACGAATTCACTGATTGTAATCACCTACTTGGGACGAATTAAGTTAGAGACTTGGCGAATTCCTTTTGATTTGAGGTTGAGCAAGGTAAACTTGAATTGGGCTAACTTGGCTTGAGCATATTTTGGATAATTGTTTGTACAGTCGGCATGAATGTTCTTGTTTGCAAGAGTATCCTCATATGATTTTAGTGAATTTGATGATTTAATCGAAAATGTTAGTTGTTGTTCCTTCTTTCATTCAATATCAATGGATTCCCTAGATCATCTTAGATCCAACAAAATTTTCCTTGGGGCATTTATCTTTCTTCTTCCCTCTAATGCTTTTCTTGTTTGAATTGGATTTTTTGTGTGTTTTTTTTATCTGAAAATTTTAAATGTTTAATGTGTTCTTATATTTCTTAATTTTTTTATAACAAAATTTATCTTAATTGACGACGAATATCAGATGAAGTAATGTATTGTTGTTCATTTTTCTGCGTAAGAATAGGCCGGCCAAAGAGGGTGTTTATTATTTTAAACCCTTATGGAGGAAAGAGATCTGCACGAAAGATTTTTGACACTGAGATCAAGCCCCTCCTTGTTGCGGCTAATATCATGTATACCTTGCAAGGTTGGTGAGCTTTAAAATTCGCATTTTTTTGTCTTTTCTCAACCAATTGTCAGATGTAATTTATTTCACCATGTGTCATCTCTCAGAAACTAAATATCAGCTTCATGCTCAAGAACTTGCCTATAAATTGGATTTGCTAAAGTACGACGGTATTGTATGTGTCAGCGGAGATGGTGTTTTTGTGGAGGTTAGTAATTCAACTTTTAGCTTGAACAATTTCATCCTATAATTACCAACACAACAACAATAACAACATCAAGCCTTTATCCCACTACGTAGGGTCGGCTACATGAATCTTCTTTTTCCATTGTGTCCTATTAAAAGTCAAATTCTCGTTTAAATCTAATAAAGAATGATCATTCATAATATTTTCTAACCAAATCTTTTTAGGTCTACCTCTACCTTCTTAATTTTTTATGTTGAGCTTTTGTAATTGGCTATTGTTGTGGATGGCTTGATTCATGTGAATTTTGGTTTAACCTCTTGAAGGAATCAAGAATTTTGTGATGTTCTTCAACTCTATCGGGCTCTTTATTCTTTCCCTGTGTTGGTTAGGTGGTGAATGGATTGCTTCAACGAGAAGACTGGGACACTGCAATCAAGGTACCCCTTGGGATCATTCCTGCAGGTATATTTCACGAGCTGCTTATTTTACTGTAGAATATCTATAACCTCATTTGAAAACTTTTTTCTCACTCATCCTTCAGTGCCCTTTTGAACTCTGTTAACGTGTAATTCTCAATATGTGTCTCTATTCTTCTTTTCTTGTATTCATTTGAGTCTTTTAGTTGCTAATAAGAGTTTATTTTACCCATTTGGATTTGTGTAATCACATAGTTTGATCCCATTTAGAAATGGTAGTTTACATTTGAATTAATCAACTAATGGTTGTATTCTTTGATACAATGCCAAATGCAGGTACAGGAAATGGGCTAGCAAAATCACTCTTGGACGCAGCTGGAGAAATGTATTCGATACTGAATGCTACTTTTGCTGTTATAAGAGGTCACATATTCATTTTTCTTGGTTGTGGTTTCTAAGTGCTTTGCTTCTAAATTTTTCTTCGTGATCTTTATTATTCAATCATACAGGCCATAAACGGGCACTGGACGTTACTACTGTATTGCAAGGAGAAACCAAGTTTTTTAGTATCTTAATGCTTACATGGGGTATGTAAAAAAACACAAAGGATAATACATTCTAATTATTATTTGTTATTTAAGCTGTCAGACATTTTTTGATACTGTGCGGTGAAGGCAATCACCATTCAAATAGTTTTGTTTTGAGTTTTTACGATAGTAGCCGTTGAACTTTCTGGCATTTTGTAAATGCATAATTTTGTGTGCAGGGTTAATAGCTGATATTGATATTGAGTCTGAAAAGTACAGATGGATGGGAAGAACTCGCCTAGACTTCTATGTGTGTAATTATTCCCTTGTTATTTCCTTCCGGATTTATATTATGTTCTACTTCATCTGCTTTCCACGCAAAATTACTAGAATATGAAGCTCCAATTTTTTTACAGTTTGGAATAATGGATAGGTTGCTTCTATTATAGTTAGAGGTCACAAAATCTAATCAAAGAAATTATATCCTGAAAAACAGAGGTAAGGCTGTGCACATAAATGTCTCCCCATCCCCCACCTATGGTAACTTTTTGCAGTGGGCCAGTGGCTATGTTAATTTTAATGTTTGCCAGAGGGCCAATAGATAATAGCGATTTACAGTTTTTGCATCTGCTGAAAGGGTATTGTGTTTGCTTCTTCTTTGGAAGAAATCTTTTTCCTCTACTGATCTGTAAATCAGTATGTAAAGTTAATGCTTTTCCAAGTTATTGGGCTGATCTTATCTTCATATTTCTTTTTATCAGAGTTTTTTAAGAATAATGAAGTTGCGCAAATACCATGGTCATATTGAGTTTGTTCCTGCTCCTGGATATGAACTCTATGGAGAACCTATGAAGGATGGAGCAATCTGTATGGGTACTGATGATGTATCTGAGAAAGGACAAAACTGTGTTGCTGAAGTCTTGCAAGGTAGCTACCAGGGCCCTAGTGTTTGTTTTGAAAAGTCAGATTGGAGGTTTCTGGAAGGCCCCTTTGTAACTATTTCACTTATGAATGTGCCTTGGATGGGTGAAGATGCTATGCCAACACCTGAGGCCAAGGTATTCTATCTTCAACAGTATCATGTTTAGAATTTGTTCTTTTGTTTATATAGAGCAGACACTATAAGCTCACAAACATGCTGCTAGAATTCATCAACAAATATTCTACTTAGTTTTGTCTCAATTTGATTATCATAGGCATAGTCTTCTTTTCTAAAAGTTTCCAGCCGAAGGATTCTGATAGGAAACATTTGAAGATCTCAAGTAATTCCTATCACTCTTTAGAAAACAGCAAAATTCCTTCACAAGAATCCACACAAAACCGAGTAAACAGTAAAAAATTTGTATTATTTGATGAAATAGAAACGGAAAATGCCAAGATACAATTGATCCTCTATTCGAGAGGAGGATCGATCTCTCCCAAATCTCTAGATGCTGCTAGAGCCCAAAGAAAACCTAAATCTAAGAGATCTCAAATTTCAGCCAAATTCAAGATGCGCTAACCCTAGGAAAACAAACTGTTTAATGCATACAATTCAAAAGGAAATCTCTAAACAGTCCCCACATTCAATTTCCCTCCTAAATTTTCTCAAAAATCATTCCTCAAAGGTTATGTGGAGATTTGTTGTCCGTTCGGCCTCTGCGGGTGAGGCGGAACTTCCGCCTGTGTTCGCCCGGGCCGGTCCCGTGTGGACCGGCTGGACTGGTCTAACAGATTACTACATGTAATATTGTGCCACATATATAGGTTTTGAAGATTCTAGATGTGCGTGTGTGTGTATATATATATATATATATATATATATATATATATATATATATATTTGTTTCTTCAAATTTTAATTGTATTCGATGTAGAATTATGCACTGAAATTTAGTCAACATTTGCCCACCTTTACTCCAAGCTTTTAATATGGCTGGTGGATGGTTTAATCTGTAGTATGATTTTGCATGGAAGCAACTAGTAGTAATGTTGCCTTTGATATGGAATTGGTATCATCTGAGCATCCATTTCCATTGTTGCTGATTTTTATTCTTTGTATCCCTTTTCATGTGATTGTTTGTTTGAGTTGCAGTTTTCTGATGGCTTCCTGGACTTGGTTATGATCAAGGACTGCCCAAAATCTGCTCTTTTATCAATATTGCTTAAGCTTAAAGATGGAAGCCATATTAAATCACCATATGTGATGTACCTAAAGGTGAGCCCTCCCAAAACACTTAATTTTGTTGTTTCTGTAGCTGAGCACCTCTGACAGCTTAATTGGCTAATTTTGGATGGAAAACATGTTATACCAAACCAACACTTACTTTCTATAGATCAAATTTCACAGTTTTCCTGTTCTAAAGATAATTGTTCTAACTGTTTCAGGTGAAAGCATTTAAGCTGGTGCCAGGCAACCGTGTGGGGGATCCCACAAAGGGAGGCATCGTAGACGTTGATGGTGAAGTGGTTGCTAGGGGTGAAGGAATTGACTTGTGTGGTCAAGAAGGAGATCTAATGGCGTACGGACCTCCGATCCAATTAACAGTCGATAAGGGTCTAGCGACGGTCTTCTCTCCGAGGTGATCAAACATTGTCAATCTTCACCACGGTCTTCTCTCCGAGGTGATCAACCATTGTCAATCTTCACCATGTACTTGATTCTCCCTCCAACTCCTGGCTATTAATATTATACTGAATATGCACAAGTTGGGGGATGATCTTGTGTGAAGTAGAAATAATCCTCTAATTTCCATGCGTTCTTGTTTTTTGTCTCTTCAGGTCTGTTTTATCTGTTGGCCTGTTTTATAGCCATCACTTGAATTCAGCAATCCTGTTGCTGGGCTTTCCCACTATGGTTCTTATTGGTTTTTGAGTTTTTTGATTGAGAGATTATTCTGTGTGGACACCGGACACAATTTACCGTCCATAGACAAATCAGGTTCAGCCACGTCATCCAGTACCGAGGCTCGGTACTGCGCAGTACCGAGCCGCGATACCGAATAAGAGGTGATGCGGCGCATTTTTATTGGCTCTGGATGGTTTTCCGCGTCCGCACCCTTTCTGATTCAAGGATAATTAGATCATGCTTAGGACTAAACATGAAGAGATTTTGGAAAGATCCAGCTTGTTTAGGGTGCTGTACAGCGCATTCTATATTAATTAGTAGATAATTTTTAGACAATAAATAATGGCGGCCTTCCATTGTAGAGACATGAGAAACGGGTGGGGGAGAATGAAGGGAAGGGATAGAAAAATGGATAACTGGAGAAAAGCTTTGGGCATCACACTTTTTTGTGTCTCACTAGCCCAGTCTGCCAGCGAATGTTTTAGAAAATAACTATTATACATCAAAATTATCAATAATATAATTAGTAGTTATTAATAATGTTAAATAAAATAATAATTTTTAAATGTAATGATTTCGTGATATTGCTTTTATGTTTGATTTTAGGCAATGTACTTACACAGAACTCATTATGGTCATAATATATCAAATCAGAATAAAATTAGCAAAAATAATATTTTTAGAAGATTCCCAAAAGAGAAAAGGATGTTGCCAAAAAGAAGTTTAATAAAATGGAGTTTTAATAATAATATGTTGTTTGAGTAATATTTTTTTTAAGTGCTTATTAATACTAGAAAGTAAATCTAAATTATTTGTTTAGGAGTTCAACTTTAGTGATTTTATTATAAAAAACTAAATTACTTATCTATCAAATTTAAGTATACGGAATTATTTTTTTTTTATTTACAAAGTAAAGTTTATATAAATGTAAATATAAACATTCGGCATAATATTTACTAAAATTATGATAAAACTTAACTTATAATAATTTTTTATTATAGTTACAGTATTTCGTTATTTATTTTTCCATTAAAAAAAAAACTCATCTTCAACTATAGAAATAAATTTATGTTGTTAGGAAATAAGCATTTCTGTAATTTAAATATTATTTCAGGCTTATTTCTTTTCATATCAAGATGTCTACAAATTTCCTAAATCAGAATCTTATTTTATCTAATTCCGTAAGAATTAGAAAATGGCAGCGAGGAAGAAGAAGGAGAAGGAGAAAATACCTATGGCAACTTCCAAGCTATTAAAAATAACAAATTTTGACGTATTCAACCTCAAAATGGAGAAATTAAGCCGAATCAAACGAGGCCTAAGCTTCCATTGTCTTTTTACTTCTTCCTACAACTTGTCTTTGTTCCTTGAAGTCATTTGTCCACAGACTTCAACGTTGATGAATGTTCAATGATTTTTGTATTGCTCATTTGTTGAAGGCCGAATTTAATTAGACTAAATGTTAAGGAAATAATAACATAATGTCTAAAATTGAAGGAAATAAAATACCCTTCTTACTATCTTATAAAAGTTCACATAAACATGATTAATAAATCATATTAATAGAAGAAGTATATATTTACTCACTTAAGTCCAAATTAGATTTCATTATCAATATTAAGCATTAACATAATTACTCATATACAAAGAGATGGTATCATATATTCTATTTAAGTAATCATCCAGCATAATCCAGAGAAGCAATATGACATTCAATGTTGCTCTATTAGTCAGAGTAGATTGTGTTTGTTATGTATGAGGTTTCAATATCAAAGTAGAGATCATCGAATGAGTCACTTCCTGCCAAACCAACTAGTTCAATAATGCATAGGCCTTAAGAGGCAGAAATGCATACCTTCTAAAAAAGCGTATCATACTTCAGCTTCATTTGGGACAGCTTTCATGCTGCTTCTTAAAGCAACTTTTTAGTACAAAATTTTTTAGTTTTGTAACTAAAAAAATTACTTTAAGAAGTAGTAAGATAGACAACCCAAATAAAGCCTTACTATGACGTTGTGAAGAGCTCCAACATGAAAAGTAATTGGTCCAACATTAGAGGTGTCAATTCGGGTCAACGGGTTGGGTTCGGGTCGAATCCAGAACTGACCCGGCACTATTCGGGTCAACCTGAACCCGACCCATTTTTAAAAGTTTCTGGACCAGAACACGACCCGATTCAGGTCCGGGTCAACCCGACCCGACACGAATGACTCGAAGTTGACCTAAAATTGCAAGTTTTAGGGTCATAAATCTTCGATTTTCGGGTCAAAATCGGGTAAAAAACGGGTCAATCTCTGGTTTCCGGGTCAAATAGGAGTTACGTGTCAATTTTGGGTCATTTTCGGGTTGCTAGGTCAACCCAAACCCGACCCGATTTTTAAAACAGGTTGATTTGTTGAACCCGAACCCGACCCATTTCAGGTCCGGGTTGACTCTAACCCGGATTTTTCCGAGTCGGATTCGGATCGTGTCAAAAATTGCACCCCTATTCAACATAATCGCCATTATACAAGAACCTATAGTTTAAAGGTGTTATAGTTCTTAAGAATAAACAATGCTGTCATTAATACATTGGATGGTAGCAGCATTAACTTGAAAAAAATTGAGGAGATTGTCAGCATACATAAGGTGAGTGATATAGATATTATCATTATTATTAAGAGAGCAGCAAGATTTTACATAGAGATAAAAATCTGTAGTCCGATAAAATATTTGCCTGTGTTCTCAGAACTCTGTTGACAGTGAAATAGGAATGTGAAGCTTCATTCTTCAAGTGCCACATAGGAATTGAAGAGGCAATGTGCTGAAGAGATAGTTTTAGCAGTTTCTTGTGAGGACAAAGGATCTTCTCCTTGTCAGAACTCCCTCAGCTTTTTTTTTGTATGCTGAATCTGTCTTTCTAGAATAAGTCTCAACTCAACATTTCCTCAACGTAGCAGAAAGCATCAGAACTCTGGACTTGATTATTTTATTATAGGTTAATGGTTACCCTAATTCTTTATTATTATTATTAGAAATATGAAGTGGACTTGATACATCGTCAAAAAATTATCTTGATCGGGCACGAATCTTGATGCAGAATGGAGTTGGAGACTTCTAAAATTAATTCGGAGGCCATGTCAACTTCAATTTCAACGAACTTATAGTCAAACTGAGTGTCTCGGAAATACGAATCCAACGACACCAAATTCAGCTCAATCCGAGCCCAAATCGAAGACTCGAAGTGCTGTTGGAAGGTTCGAATCACAATCTGAGTTACCAAACTGTCTCTGATTTTAATGAGCTTATACTCGAATCGAACGGCTCGACGAGAGGAATCCAACGAGCCCAAGATCACTAAATTCTGACATCACTAAGGCCTTCAAATGTCTAACGAACGGTGCACGATCGTAGGATTCAATATCGGCCGTCCATTCGACCACTCCCTATTCGCCCCTGATCTCAGGCCTATTTACGAGCTATGCCACTCCAGAAAAACTATAAATAGAGCCCTCATTATTCACAAAGAGCGACCCAAGCAAGAGAAGGAAGAGGAAAAGCAAGAGAAGAAAGAGGAGAAGGAAGAGAAGGAAAAAGCTCCTCCTCGACTACCGTCGGAACCTCGCCGGACCACCGGAGCCTCGCAGACCACCGTTGGAGCCTCGTCGCACTTGCTCGTTGGCTATTTGATCAGACAGCGTCCCTACTATGAAAGGCTTCTCTCGGCTATGAAGAAGGCTTGGAATCTTAAAGGTTCGATGTCTTTACTTTCGCTTGCAGATGGTTTTTTCCTTATGAAGTTTACATCTCTGGAGGACCTGGACATGGTATGAACGGGAGGACCTTGGTTTTTGCTAGGGAAACCATTTATTCTGCAAAGATGGTCACCGAAATTCAATCCAGTGCGGGATGAGACTGCTTCTTTCCCAATCTGGATTAAAATCATCAACCTTACGCTAGCCTTATGGACTCCGACAGGTATTTCTAAGATTGCTAGCTATGTCAGAGTTCCTATTTCGGTTGATACTCTTACTGCGAATCGGACCAGGCTCACGTTCGCTAGAGTCTGTGTCCAAATCAATAAAAATTCTCCTCTTCCGGATGTTATTCCTATTGAGATTGACGGAGATGACCTGAACCTTAAGGTGGTGTATGACTGGAAGCCAACTCCCTGTGAGGGCTGTGGCACTCTGTTCCATCCTTTTTCTCTCTGCTCTGCGAATCCTAACCCCAAACTCCAGATCCCCAGCAATTCCAGACCCAGGGGAAGAAGCACCAGCCGGCACCCAAATCCCAGAATTTTGGGCCAGTCATCTAAACCTCCCGATCCACGACCTTCCTTGGAGCCTCCAATCTTAGGTCCTCCCCCAGCTTTGCCGCCAGTTGCAACTTCTGGTTTTGGCATACTTCCCATGGTCATCCCCGCTCTGAAATCCCCAACCAAAAGTTCTAAAGCTGTGACTCCTTCTTCACAATGCCCCTCTCCCAAACCTAATTCTCCTTTAATCCCACCTCTTCCTAACCTCAACTTTCCCACTGAAGTTTCTTCCTCCTCGGACCGTCCCTCATCCTTTTGTCCTCCCCCTCCCTTGATTACGACTTCCAACAAATTTGCTTCCTTACTTCCTGAGGAAGAAAATACTGTGGATTCTTCATGCCCGCCTCTTGTTACTTCCCTTTTGGTGGATAAAACTCTGGTCTCCTCCACTCCTAAACCTATTTCTTCTCCTAATGAGCATTGCTCGTCTTCTGAGAATGCCTCTAATTCCAATTCCAAATCCACTACTGTCAAGGATTCGAAGAAGGGCAAGGCCAAGCCAGCAAAAAGGCCAAAGGTTCCCGTTATTAATGTCTTCTACGCCTATAGCATGCTGGAACGTGAGGGGGTATAATGACCCTGAAAAAGTTAGGCACTGCAGAGATTTGGTTACTTCTTATAGTCTTAAAATTTTGTGTATCCTTGAGACAAGAATTAATGTCCAGTCTTCCTTGGACCCTTGGTTTCTTAATTTGCACAAAGTCTTTGAT